TTGTTTCAGTCTCCTCTTTATCTCCATCAGCACTCTGAGTTTTGGTGGCTTTAACTTGTACTTCCTGAAGTTGGCTTTCTGAGATCTTGTCTGGAGCTTCTGTTCTTTCCAGTTTCTGTTTTAGGTCAGTATTTGGCTGTATGGATTCTGTTGATTTGCTTACAACTTGTTTGTTTATGTCCTCATGTTGATCTCTGACAAGTATGGACATCTGGTCTTGTTGGATGTTAACTTTACTGTTAGCACTAGTAATTGCAGTCTCATTCATCAAACTCTTTACTGATAACTCCTTTGTTTCAGTCTCTTCCTTAGCACATTCAGCACTCTGGGTTTCACTGCTTGCTGCTTTTAGATCTTGAGGTGTATCCATCTGTAAAATGTGGCTTTCTGTTGCCTTCTCTGGAGCTTTTTCTGTCACAGGTTTCTGTTTTATGTCAGCATTTGGACATTTGGATTCTGCTGATCTATGAGCATTTTCCTCTACTTTCCTCTTTTTAATGTTCTCGTCTTGGTCTCTAGTAATCAAGGTTTTCTGTTCTTTGTGGCTCCTAACTTCAGAACCAGCAGTCTCATTTGAAGCCTCATTTGGTAAATTCTTCATCAATAAGTCCTTTGTTTTACTCTCTTCTTTAGTAGTAGTAGTTTTAGTGCTTACAGCTTTTAGTTCTGGTGTTGGACTTTTCTTTTCAACGTCAGTGTGTTTGTCCCCCTGATTTGCTTCCTTATCCCTGACCTTCTCATCTTTGGCAAGAACTACTTTGGGTTCCAGTTCATTTGTCACAGTTTGTGTCTTCCGCTGCTGATCTGTTTCCTTATCACCACTCTTTGCATTTTCTTTTAAGAATATCTCACATTCCTGCTTTTTAACAACCACACTGGCCGTATTTTCATGGAGTGCACTTCTTGCTTGCTCTGCCTCTGTCTTCTTCACCTCCAGGGCACCCGTAACTACCGTCTGTGGTCCGTCCTCTGAGTCAGGTTGTAAACATTTCTCCTCTGAAGATAGATCTGTCGGCTTCTGTGTTTTTGTAATTTCTTTCTTTGCTTCATCCTCGATAGTTATGCCCTTTAGCTCCTTTTTGCAACTGTCCTTTGAGTCAGTGCTTTCCAGAGCTGTGTTGTTCAGCTTTTCATGTGATTTCAAGTCTTTCTTCTGTCTTTCAAATTCTCCAGCCAGTAAAAGAGGCTCTTTGTCTGGCTGATTTTCAACATTCTTGGGCAGTTCACAAACAGTCATAGTCTGTGTTTGAATGTCCAAAACTTCTGCTGGTTTCCTGCCAACCTCCTCTTTACTCTTCTTCTCCACCTCAAAATCTTTTACTAATTTTCTGCTTAATGTGGGCAATCTATCATTTTTAAGAATTATATTTTTTGTTTGATCCTTCGATAACTCTTTTTGCTGCTCTATATTGGCCAAGTTAGCGTCAACTGAAACAGCAATGGAAGTAGCTAACATACCATCTCTTGGCTCAGCATCTTGATCTTTTGATGCCAATTCAGCAGAAAGAATATTTCTGCTGTTGTATTCCTCAGAAATTACCTTTTTTGTTTCTTTAAGGGAAACACTACCGAGCAAAACACCTTCCTGATCAGAGGGGGTCATTATGTCACAGGGAGTGCTTTCAAGCACAACAGGTTTGGGTGACATATCAGTTACATCCTCATGAGCGGAGATGAGATTGAGCTCTGGAAGGCCTCTCTCCTGGATTAAATCTGTTTTTCTGTCACCTTTTAGCTTTGTTTTCTCTAAAATGTCTTTCTCTTTTACTTCTTCTGGACAAATCTTTGGTGAAATTAATGTTTCTTGTTCCTGTGTGGTGTTGTCACTTTGAATCTGAGACTCAACTTTTGTTGGTTGTTTGGTCCCAAGCTGGCAATCAATCTTACCGTCATTTACATCAGTAACCGGCGACTGAGATGGACTTGCCTTGGCAACCTCACTGCTAGGCAATACCTCAGCCCCCGGGCCTGTTACTGGTGAAACATTTACTCGAGTGTTTTCTAAAATAATGGCATTGTTGTTTTGTGTTTGATGGACTTTTGAAATCTCCTTAGTTGCAGGACTGGTTATGCTCTCCTGTAATTCTTTTGTCTCTTTTCCTTTTAGCTTGTTTCCACTGGCACCGGACTGACTGTCTGTGACTTTTATTACTCGCTCTTGTTCCTTTGGAGACAGAGACTTGACTTTAAGTATGTCACCACTGGCATTGTCCTTCGCTTGATCTGCCATGACACTCTTAGATGCTGTGACAGCTGTCTTCTTGTTAGTGTCCTGATTTGAGTCCCCTTGTTTAGATGTGGATATGCTTGCAAAATTCTCAGTCGGTGAATGTTTTCTGGATTGTTCTTTGTTGGAGCTTCTCTGACTCCTTGCAGGAAGCTTGCTAACAGATGATGAGGGATCAGCGCAATCCTTTACTGGACTTTTGTGGTGCTTAATGTTGTCGCTCTGTTTGGAGAGCCTCGATGAGACATTTTTCTCTTGCTTGGTGGAAGATGGAGAGACACACAAGGTGGGTGCGTCACTCTCTTCATGGCTAAGGCTTCTTTTAGAGAGGTGTTTGGATGGTCTGGTTTCCAGCATGCTTCCTGTTAAAAACACACACACACAGAGTTTTAATACAACAATAAGACTGCAATTACTAGTGCTAACAGTAACGTTAACATCCAACAAGACCAGATGTCCATACTTGTCAGAGATCAACATGAGGGCACAAACAAACAAGTTCTAAGCAAATCAACAGAATCCATACGGCCAAATACTGACCTAGAACAGAAACTGGAAAGAACAGAAGCTCCAGAGAAGATCTCAGAGAGCCAAATTCAAGAACTAAAGGTTGTGAGCACCAACACTCAGAAGTTCACTTTAAGGTTTAGAAATTGTTCACGTTTTAAAGGAATTGTTTGACATTTTGGAAAATGTGCTTACACACTAGATGATAAGATTGATTTTACTCTTATATCTGTGCAGCAGCTGGTTAGCTTAGCACAAAGACTGGAAACAGGGAAACAGCTAACCTGGCTCTGTCCAAACATAACAAGACTGCCTCCTAGCACCTCTCAAGCTCACTGATTAACACGCTATGTCTTGTGTGTTGTGTATTTTGTACAAAAACTGTGCCCTCCAAAGAAGTAGCCCCACACATAACCCCTTGTAAGACAACAACATATTGTTTTTACACTTAAACAAGCAAGATATAATGTGCTAATCAGGGAGCTTTAGAGGTGCTGGTTGGCACATTTTGTTACCTTTGGACAGAGCCAGCCCCCCCCACTCCTCTCAAGCTAAGCTAACTGGCATCTCCTGGCTCCAGCTTCATATTTATTACACAGGAAAGCAAATAATGTCAAACTTTCCTTTTAAGATGAGGATATTTGTTTCTTAAGCAAATTTTCCAAAATGTCGAACAATTCCTTTAAAACGTGAACACTTTCTAACCCTTAAAGTGAACTGTGTTGATCTTTCATTCACTGTCAACAGAGGAGCCCAAGTATTTTTGATTTAATGACTGTAAACATTACTGGAAATGAGTGATTTCCTGTACAGCACACAGCATGCGGTGATCGTGCTGTCTTACCTCTCTTGGGACTTTCAGAGAGCGGGGGAGGCGTCTCACTGCCAGGAGTTACTTCTCGCTGCTCTGGACTCTGCTTCTGGACTGTGCTGGATCTGTCTGAATCCGTCTGACCAGACGTCGTTTTGTTATCGTTGGTGCCACTTGTTTGAGTTATCGCGTCGTTCCTCTTTCTTGTCGGAGATGAAATGGGCAACCGAGTCTTTGATGCCAAGGAGGCATTATTCTCCAGACGGGTTTGCCCTTGTCTTTTGACACCAAGGTCCTCCCTGTCAGTTGGGTGTCCTGTTCTAATACTACCCTCCCCGTAGTCTCTCTCCACACCATCTACCAGCTTTATAGAGTCACTGACCTCATCTGTTTTTTCCTTAATAAGCTTTGTTCCTATCTTGTGTGTTGTTTTAGTGGGAGAAATGTCTCCTAATGGAGCTTTCTCTTCAAAACTTTGTTTCCTGCCAGCTTTGGTGGCAGTGAGCGGAGATTTCAAAGCTTCTTTGCTTCTGGGTTGTTTCTGCAGTTTGGAAGTGACCACTGACCCAGAGGCGTCAGGCGCTGATGGTTTATCAGGTGTCACTGGTGATTTCACATCAGCATCTGATGCTGACCTTTTGGGGATTTTAGACTTTGAACTTGAGGGACCGGTGATTTGGTCTTTTAATGTTTGTAACATAGAAACTGTTTTATCATTGCTAGGTTCCCTCTGTGGTGGCATATCACTGGACATTCCCAACCTGGTGCTCTCTGTGGAGGCCTTAGCCTTTGTTGTTCCATCTTTGGTCTTGCTGCCTGCTGCTGAGGATGGGGTCTTTGCTCCACTTGCTGTGGTATGCCCACTTTCTGCTGCTGCTTTAAGCCCTCGTTTAGACGCTGTAGCCTGGTTGGTCCCTTGGCCTCTCAACCCAGACCCTACCGCTTGTGACTTTGCTCTGTACATGTCTGAAGTTGCAGAGGTATCATCAAAGTCTGAGGCCTCAGAGTCTGTTTTTTCCTTAACTATGGGTTCAGGAGTATTTGTGTCAGAGTGTGTAGTCCTGTCTGTACTTGGCTCAAGTCTGGCTTCCTTGATTTCCACATCGTTGTTTTGGAGGCTTGCCAGTCTGGAGGGAGGGAGAGAGAGAGAGGGAGAGGGAGAGGGAGAGAGAGAGAAAAACATCAACAGGAACATTTTAGAATAACCTAAATAACCACATACAGCATGAGTAAATAAGGAACAATGAGTAGTACATTTCATTTTGTTCTCCCTTTGGAATCATAAAGTATCTGCATACAAGTAAAATAACTAAGGAATAGTTTGATAATCGTATGGGAAACTCAAACATTTGGAGTCGTGTTATTCGTTCTTTTAAAGGCAGTACCTGGATGTACGCCATGCCTTTTGTTCTATAGGCATGTGTCTAACTGTAACCATGTCACCCTAAAGTCAAACAAAAGTGTGCCGGCAGTAGTCGCCCTTCAGGTTTTGTAATGACTAACTTATTCAGGTAGATAATATGCACCATAGGTAAACAGCAACGGTGACCTTCATTTCAATTATTAAAACGTGACAAAAAGAAAAAGAATCCCGACTTCATTATTACTACGCTTTTTGTTTAGTAAGTAACAAATGCTTTTTAGCAACTTGAAGGGTAATTCATAGCACTTCATAGGAATACGCCATTGTTTCAGTATGATTAGATGTACTGTACATGAATATTTCAGTGCAGTCTGTATTGTTCTCCTCTGGTACAATGGGGCTTGGGAACTTAGAGCTCAGGTTGCATGCAGACTTAGCTCTCTTTAGCTCCGCTGCTTTTGGTTTCCCGCAGGATCAAAGGGACCATTAAACAGTAACCACAGAAAAGTAAAACCGACAGAGACTCACGCTTTCCCTCCTGTTGTGTCTGAAGTCTTTGTAGTTGAATCTCTGCTGAGCTCCCCTTCCGCTGGTTCGCTCCCGTCCAAAACTGGCTCCTGGGTCACGTACACCTTGTGGGCAAAAACCTTGTTTTTCGAAGGCAGGTTGACCGTCTTGCGCGTGACCCGAACTTCTCTGGGTCTGGGTTTGTCCTTGTGTGAACTTAGCTTGGAGCCTGTGCCGGCGTCAGGCTCTGCTGGCTGTGGTGAGGTTGCCTGGAACTCCCCTGCGGTCGGTGCCAAGGAGCTGGCTGGCTCTGGCAAGCTGCCACTGGACTCTGAGGGGGTAGAGGCCTGGGGGAACGAGTCGTCCTCAGGAATCACTGTGACAGGTATCGCCAGCACGGGAGGCGAGTCGGCTCTGAAGCCCTCCTCTTCTTGTTTCGTTACATCCCGCTCTTTCTCCCCCTCCCTCTCCACTTCCGGCCCCATGTACGTTTCCACCCATATGGCTTTGTGGAGTTGGGCGGGAGAATTACCTCGGGGAGCTGGCTCGCTCTCAGGTGAAGGGCTCCATGTCGTGGCATCCCAAGAGAACACCTGACCCCTCCTCTTGTTTTCCCTCGCTACGTCCAGAGAGTCCCCGCCTTCCTTTTGGGTGGTGACGAGGTGTGAGGTGGATGACTGAGAGCCTAAAGTTAGCCCTCTCAGCACGGTGCTGTGCCCCTTCTCTCCAACTTTCACTGATGTCTTCTTTGATGCTAAGCTTATGGTGGTTAGGTTAGGTGACATTGGGGCCTCGGCCACCTTGGACAGGGAGATGTTAAATGTCGACAGTGTGGTCTGATTGACTGCCTTATCTTCACCGGACCCCTCTGTGCTCTTACGGCTGTTTTCATCCAAACTGACTTGCAGCCTCTTGCTTACTTCCTCCACCACTGACTCTGCAAAGCCCAGTTCTGAGCTCAAATCAGCTCTCGGTTGAGTGGCGGTAGCAAAGTCCAGAGAGGTGGGAGTCACATTCCCAGAATTCCTCTCACCACCAGCTGTGCTGACCCTGCACATGTGCACCTCCCTCACGCTGCTTCGGCCGCTGCTGTTGCTGTCTGCGAACGGGAGCTCCGCTTCATCGGCCAGCAGGGAAGACACACTTGAGGCGCTGGGATTGGAGCTCTGGCTGAGGGCGTCGCCATGCTCCGCTCCCACTCTGAAGTCTCCATAATTAGGCCTCATTAAACCGCTGTCTTTTCGAGAAGGAGTTGGCATCTTCTGCCCGTCCTCCTGCTGTAGAGACTGGGGTGACATTGGGGAGCTTGCATCGGAGGAAGAATGCTGCCTGCTGCTGCTCTTCTTTCTTTTAAAGAAATGGCTGAGGCGATCCAACACTCCCTTCTTCTCCTCCGAGCTCTGGAAGAGGACAGACAAGAAGCAGACAAAAAGACAAATATTGAGGTGGAGAGGCAGCAGGCACACCCTTTTCTCTCTGGCTTTGCAAAATAAAAAAAACAGAAAGCAGAAAATGAAATCTAAAAGGTTTGCTCTTCAACATCTCGCCGAAAGGCAAGCTGGAAAAATGGACATAATTCAACATACATTTACCTTTGAGGAACAGCTGTACGTATGGACTACTATTACACAAGTTTAGTGGGAAGTCAATAAATGACCCTTATTTGTGAAGTTATGTCAAATGAATGTGAAAGTTTTTAAAGTATCCAAAGGCCCATTTACAGAACGATCTTAAGGACAAGGATGTATCTCATGTGTCTGGGGTCTTGTATATGTATAACATGTATGTTTATGTTTGTTATGTACATTTTTTATAAAATGCTGAAAAATCAAAAGAATAAACAACCCACGTCTTTGATATCTTTTGAATAACAACATGCACAATTTGACAACAGGGACAAAATGAGGATGAGAGAAAACATGCATGAAAATACGGATGCATTGTTTTTAATCACACAGATTCAACAAGCTCAATATTAATTAGAGACATCGAAATGTTCGAGACTATGTAGCAAAAACTATGTCTTAGTCATATCTTATTGTTTTGCTCGGTATTAAAGACATTCTGGGGAAAAGAATATTATGAATTTGTGTTACTTGTTAGAATACCACCAGAAGTTTTGTGTGAGAAAAATGACATATATTTACTTCAATTTTTTTGTATTTCCGCTTTGAAATTCATAATTGAATTGTGGTTACAGAAATCATGTGACGGCTGGCAATGAATTATATTATATAATTACAGGGAAAATTCAAACTATGGAGTAAATTACATTAAATTAAAGAAGGAATACAAATGCATGGAAGAAGATGGAATTTAGTATATGTGTACACATTAACACGTATACAGTACATACACATACAGGCAGTCTTTTATTGTGGATGTTTTATAAAAGATCATCTTTAAGTTGGGTTATATTGTCAAAAATAGTGTATTTTCTGTTTTTTTTTTTCAAGATGAAAATAAAAAAGTAGTCTAAAAAAATACCACAACTTATCTTTAAATGGTTTACTTTTAGATTCTATTTTCTAATACCATTAAAAGAGCCTATTTAAATCTCCACAACAGCTGAAAACTAGACCCAGCGGAGCAGGTTAAATGCAGACACCCTGGTGCAAATAACAACATAGTGGTAAAACAATCAGGCTGGAGCGGGACGACTAATGAGTGACTAGACAGACGTAAAACTTCTTTGATGCTCAGCTCAAGGGTCACTGAAGTTATCACAGCAACTGTACACAAACAGTGAAAGAATGAAGTCCAAGCACACAGGATTAGGTCCAAAAAGAGCCCAATAATCAATTAGAAATTTACCATTATTTAATATCAAAGCGTGACACAGCAGCAGTGGCTTCCAAATGTTTACTCAGATATAAAGCACATCTTCATGCAGCCATGGTACTTTTTAACAGGAGAAGAAAGAAAAAAGGCCGTTCCGACGTGAAACACACCTTTGAAACCTGGTTAACTGTAGTCACAGAATAAAGAGCACGTTAGGACAAGAAGCATGAACCACAGTGTAAAAAAACCGTCAGTTACATACCATTTTGACTTCCTTTGGTGTTCTCTGCTTATTAATGCCTAGATCCCAAAAATAACAAATGAAAGACGTCCATGTCTTTCCTAAGACGTGGTGATTCCTAAGCTAGTCGTTCCCACGTCTTTAGCAGATCACATAGAAAATAAAAGAGTCTTTCATAAGCACACCAGCAGCACTGTGTGCAACGACTTGTGTGTGTCTACGGTTTAATGTCCCAGCTCTGAACAAAGTGTCTAACTCGAGGGCATGGCCATTTGCATCACAGCTAACAGTGTGAACAAAACAAAAAAAAGAAAAAAAAAAGAGATCGTAAAAGATGGCTCACATGGCAAATGAGTGAAAAGAATTGACAATCCAGTGATATTGAAAGGGTGTGGACAGGCCGGCTGGAGACAACCCCACCCTTCCTCATTCTAAAGCTGGGTAAATCAATAGCACGTCTGTTATCTACTGCGCCTCTATTTACGAAGAATTGGGTTTGTAGAAGTTGAGACTCATTTAGATAGAAACTGTACAGTGCAATGTGTCGACGGTGCTGTGTGACTACGTAAATACATGTGCAATCCATAAAGTACACACAACTGCTCAGAGAGCACTTTCAGTTACTTTTCCATGATAAAAACCTGTTTGGACGCACTCTCCCGCGTTGTCAAACATTCACATTATATCACTGAGCAAACAGCAGGTAAAGACGGCCTGTGGCCGGGTGTACCTGCTCATGTCTGAATATGAGTGGAACGAAACACAGAAACCAAACTGGACCGTTTTCGTTTGGGTCAAAGCAAGATACAGTACCTCCAGTTCGTTTCCACTCATTCACAAATCCACCGCGTTGAAGCAGAGTAAATTAAAAAAGGATAAATAATTATCCTGTGTCCGGTGTATGTTGAAGTCTTGAATCTTGAACCTGTCGTCCTTCAAAGCAAAGCGGCTACTGTTAGCTCTCCACTGAGCATTCCCTCTTGTATTTACTCATAGCAATGACAAATGTCAGGTAGGTGGAGATCTAGTACCATACCTGTGTGCGTTATGGCCCACTTCCTTATCGGTCAGCCAAAGCTCTGCTTCATTCTCTGATCTCAGCGGCAGATAGTCATAATAAAAGGCACGCACAGGGTGAATGGTGTTGATTGTAATTACAGCGGGGCACTGCATCTGTCAGACTCTGTGCCAAACTGTAAAGCATCACTTCTTTACCACTCTCTCTGACACAAATACTACTGAGAGCAGGTTTGAGTCCATGGAAGTAGCCCAGGGACAATGAGCTCCCTTAGGATTATGTACATCTTATCTTAAAGGGGAAGCACACGTTTACCATCCCTGTACATCTTATTTCGATCACCGATGACACGCGAGTGCATCACTGAGCAGTTAGCAGCTGTTTGGAGAATAAACTGGAAAGAAAAAAGCTAAGCATGGCCATATCTTTGAGTCAACCATTATGATAAGCATGGGAGCTACAGAAGTGATATTATTATTGACTTAAAGCTACTATGAGGAACTTTTATTTTGTGTTGATTAAGGCGGCCACTGTTGACGAAAGTGGTAGTGTTTCTCAGCACCAGAAATCCCTTTAGGAAACCTCTCCATCTACTGCAGCGCAGTGACAGTGGGCCTCGCTGAGTCCTGGTTCTGGTTCTCCCGTGCCTCCCTTCCCTACGACGTGCTGTGGGGTGACCAGCGGAGCAGCGATGAGAAGCTCAGGAAACTGAGACTGTTCCATAACCAGTTAACAGTTCCTCACAGTACATTTAAGTACAAGTACTTCAGTAAATCAGCTACATTTACTCTATAATATCATTTTATCATTATTGCAGGTGCATTTATGTGAAAGTAGCATTTTAATGTTGCAGTTTGTTAAGGAGGAGACAATTTAAACACTGATTATTGTACAGTGCATTCAATATAATAAGCTCATCAAATGTTGTGTGTATAGAATATTTATCAATAATTAGCAACTAAAGCTGTTGAATTAAAGTAGAGAAGTAAAAAGAATAATATTGCACTATTGGTCGATAACACTTATTAGAATATTAAATTATAACAGTAACTCCAAGCATAATAATCAGACAAATATACTCATGTACCAGCAACAACACTTATTTATTGAATGCTTTTTGTCTTTGTTCGTAATATTTTTTATTTTTTTACAATGTATATTCTTTGTTTCATTACTTTGCATTGTGAGATGGTAGGCCTTCACCTCAATATGACTCCTACTGGAGATTTCTTTTATTACAAGAAAAACCATATTACTGTTTAGGTTAACAATAAAGTAAAAGGTAAGTACATCAAGTTCATGCTTCAATCGAGAAATGATTTGAAAGTGTTCAGTTGCTATAGGAACTACTGTACTGCAGATACAAACACACACACGTATCTGTAACGTCTTCAGTTTTCACTCCCACACTGACAATAGATATGAAAATGCGTCCATAAGACCAACCTTGTATTTGGAGGGAGAAGTAGGGCCGTGTGGCTGAGTCATGTCGAAGTTGAACATGGAGGAGGACTCCGAAAGAGGGTCCCAGTCCGATTCAGTCCGGAAACTGCACTCTGTGGAAACACTGATCTGGTCGTAGCTCCTGGTAGAGAGAGGCAGGAAACGGGGAGCGAGAGGGGGGAGGGGGATGTTATGTCATTGGCCTTTGTTTCTCCTCTCAATGTACATGTGATGTCTTCACAGTTTTATGTCTTCATCAAACTCCTTACCGAACTTGTATGTGCCCATGAACACACCATTTTAAACGTAAGGTGCAGTATCGGTCTAGTCCAGAAAAGTTACACATAAAGGATCATGGGCCGTCCCTGCCAATTGTTGTGACGGACAACATGACAGTTGACGGACAACATTCACTCCCCGGCGGCAAAGCGTGCACGCTGAGCAATTAGAGTGCTGTCGAGGATTCTAGAACATGTGTGAGGCATGAGGAGGTGCATCGGTTTGAGGAGCAGCGGCTCCACCTCTGAGTTGCCCTCAAAGTATTTACAGAATCACACCCAGTCCTCCGAGCAGCCATGACAGAGTGACAGGCAGCACGCCACCTCTCCCAAACAAAAGATGTGCAGAATTTGCACTTTAACCAATGCTGCACTGTCTGCATGATGGGGCCGTGTCATGTGACACCATCATGGGTTCAGCTGCGCAAATGTGGCAGCCTCCAGGACAAAGTGTGATGTCATCAAATGTCCCAGAGTTCAACGAATACAAATGGAAGTATTCGCTTAGTAAATGAGGACGTTGAGCCAAGACTTCAATCTACTCCAGAATAATGTTTGTGAAGACCTGACAGCATGCTGTGGCAGCAGTTCCCTTCAGCAGCACCTTGTCTCCAGCCACAGTCACTAGGACATGAGCCTTTGCAATGCAGTGTTTCTCCACAAGGGGGCAGAGCAAGACAGGACTTCCAGGAGAGCTGACAGAAAGACAACTCGGTTGTTTTGCAGCATTTGTGTTAAACATGTCAAACAAAGACGTTGACGTGAGACTGCTGTACTCTGACCTACATGGAGATAAGCACACACTTCTCTAATAGCAGCCTGTTTGGTTGTTTTGTGAAGTCATGCTAACTAATGTGACGTACAGTGTGTGGACACATCCAGAGGGCTTGTGTTGTGTTTTTGTGTTTACATTCTTTGAGCAGGCTGAGCCGCGGGACGAAATGGACCACACCTCACCTGACGTGAACATCACGCTCACTAACAACAGGCTGATCATCTGACTGCGTACTTTGCTGCAGTCCTTCAAACCTCAAAACACGATCTAATAGAGGTGTGTATGGTGAATCACGGTCTTATTCATGAGCTTATTGTTTTCTTTAGCTCTACGTCCTTTTATTTACCAGCCGTGACCACTTGCGGCTGGTATTGTTTTGTGAGTCTGTGTGTGTGTGTGTGTTCCTAGCAGAACTACCACAGAGGAGGTTTTCAGTACTATGCCAGGTGTCTAATACGTCTGTCTGTGGACAGATCTTGTCACAGTCGTGCAACATGCACGACACTCTACAGGTGTGTAGTTGAGATCAAAATGAAGACAGAGTTTGAAAATGGGTGTGATCCCATAGCAAGGTGGTCTCCAGTTTCACACATGGAATGTGACCTCATCCTTAGCCTGTATTAGCAGCGGGCTGCTGTAAAGCACCATGCTGGAACCTTTGCTGTTTGCTTAAGGAGAGAGTAGGAGCCGCCCACTGACATACATTCACTGAGACAAGCATACCCTTCTTTACTTCCGCCATCCATGCTCGGACCACACCCATCAACGAACATGGCCTTCATTTTGAGGTGGCACTTGAAAAAAAACACAGCAGATGACAAAGAAAAATAAAACTAAAGAAAAAATCATCATCAGGAGAAATAAGACGAAACTTGATAAAAAGGTCTTTGAAGCCCTTCAGTATAAAACTTAGTAAGAATAATGACATGTAATGAATAACAAGTGTGTTGACAAAATATTATAATTGAAGTTTTGACACACATGCTTCATCCTGTGTATCGAGATTTCCTATTTTTCCTGAAATTACTCAACATCCTTCAAGGAACAACACGCACAGACTTGTGGATTTCAATCAAATATGGCCAAGTGGGAACTAAAAAGACTCCAGACTGCGATCATGCCAATACATGTACAATAAGAGAGGAACAGGCATCCACAGCTCCTACTGCTGCTGCATCAAGTGCTACAGTCCCAGAGCCAAGGACACCTCCGGCAGGTCAACGGATAGTCTGGCTTGGGCCTTCACTACAGTAGGCCTTGTCTTATCAGCATGTGTCATGCAATCACTTGGTGGTTTGCCAGATCACAGAAGAAAGACTCGGTGTGCTTGTCATCATACAGTTGGTGCATGTCAGTTCCAGCTTTGCTTACCCTTAAACAAGAATACTGTTTGCACAAAAATGTATGTGTGTATTTTTTTGTAGTAAGACTAAGAAAAGTGCCTAAATGTACTTTGCTTCCACAGCTTTAAACTCAGTACACACAGGCCAACCAGCGAAAGAACTGCTGTCCACTTCAGTTACACATTGGTTCAAAGGGTCTCGTTGCAGTATGAAACATAACTCATGCTTTTTAAGCACCAGAACTTCAAAAAGTCAAATGAATGTAAACAAAACCTACATAAAACACAAACGCATCAAACGGCGAGAGCTGGGCGTTACAGTCTGTGACCTCTGACCCCCAACACAACCTTTAGGCTGCATTTCAAAAGAATTGCAAGCACATGTGGGCAGGCGAGACCCCCCCTTTAAAAGAGTGAAAGCTCACTGTGAGCGGACACACAAGGCGTCCTATGCATTCTTACCTAAAAAAGAGCCTTAGGAGTAACCCTGTCACAGAATCGGGTGGCTGAAGTCAAACCCGCTCCGACTTGTTGAAACCTCTTTGTTGCAACACAGACATAAACTGTGCGCTCCCAACAGCAGAGCTTCTGAGACTTTATCGTGGATTGCTGGATGGCAACTCACGTCACTACTCAAGTTTTCTAGGGCTAGCAGTATATTTCATGGGGTAGATTTGATCTCATTATATTGGTGTAAAGATGGAAAAGTAGAAGGTGTGACAAAGAAGGCCAAGGGAAAGCTGAGTTGGCTGGTTGTTACACCTGTCACACCTGTCACCTTGTCTGATTCTATAATATCCTGGATATCTGTCCTGTACTGACTCAAACAGATGGATCTGGTATCTGTGACGATGGGCCGATCTGGTATCTGATACCATTATTATAATACATAACAATTCAGTCAATGTATATCTATGTATGTACTTGTTACATTTTGTTTGTTTGGAAAGCAAAGTCTAAGTCATCCCAGTCACCTCTACACAGTGAGGCCTGCAGCTTATTAACTAAACACTGGTTCCAGATCGGTACTCCAGGCTCGGGTATCGGTATTCAACACTGAAAAGTCGGATCGGTGCTTCTCTATCTAGGCCCGGTTGACAGGGAGCAGCGGACCCCATCCCTCCCTGGATGGAGAGAGGGAACAGCGAGCACTAAGTCCACTGCCCTGGGAAGCCGCCAGGGCCTGGCTGGCCAGAACCGCCAGTCCCCTTCACTTGGGGGCCTTTCTAAGACAGTTCAGGTGCACGACCACAGAGGAAAGGCCCCTAGCAAGGGCCAGAGTCCGGGGGAGGGGTCCTACAAGGGGATCCTCCCACACCGAGTGTCCGTCTCTGTTAGTAGGGTGGTAACATCCCTTGCTTCAGTGTAACATCATTTTATCAGAGAAACTTGATGATGATTCTGTCTCTGGAAAAGGTAAAAATCCCCCAACTACGTGATACGCGATGTACCAACTGTATTAACCACAAGCTGAGAGGACGTTACTCAGGCATGTGCATGCACAATGAACTCCATGAAGTTAATCCACTGCAGGTTTCAGGCCAACCCAGAGATTAACACTGATGCTAGTGCCAAGAAAAGTTTATCCACATAAACTCAAGAATACACGTGTAAATAAAAGCAGCAGACTTCAGTGAGCTCAGCAAACATGCAGCCCTGTGCAGAGCTACTGGATAAACTCAGACAAGGGCTGGAAAGGACTCAACTACTGACTCACCCTTTATTGGGCACATGAGGAATATAATAAGTCACTAGAGGCTGTTGATGGAAGATATCTTGTTGTGCACAATACACAGATTGGGAAAATCTGAACTGCTGCCTGATGTAAGGGCTTCTTTCAGGCTCATGTTGCCCAATAGGGAACTTGGAGCTGGAGTACAATGCAGCTAAGAGGAAAAGCTCTGCCATAGGACGAATGTATCTCTTTTCATGCTGAGAAATCAACGTTGGAAAAAAAAAGACAGATGTTATGCCAAACAACGATTGATGCATTCAAAAAGCAAATCAATAAATCAATAAGTGCTAATGATAAGATAGAAATAGGCTCACAATGAACTGGAAACAGCCACTGTTTGTGTGAGTGACTGTTCATTGGGGAGTGCCTGGAACAACTGCTGCAGGGCCGAGCATTTGCAGCCTACTGGTGGTTGCAGACCCGCCCAGCATCTGGCAGCCACTGCACTTCCACTTGGACCAATGACAGGTAAGATGGTGTGCAATGGAAACCAGAGCCATAGCATGTCTGTGACTACTTTCAGGCCTTTCACTCAGCTGCAGAGGGCAGACACGATGCACGCTTTGAGATACCGCAGCATGGTGTACTTGCAGAACGGAGCCGACTGCATGTGCGCCCCATCGTGCAGTGGAAGTAATGAAATGCATAAAGTGTATCAAGGTGACAATGGATAGCTCGTATTGCTGGCATGTTGACTTTGGAAGCAGAAACGCTTCTCTCTCGTTGTTGACCACGCTTTTACTATTTCTCTATATGTTCAGACTGCAGAAGTTGCTACAAAGTGCAAGGTGATAACACCAGATTTATCCATGCCTTCAGGCTGAAACTAAAATGCAAAGTGAGCAGAAGAGTAGAGCT